TTGTGTATATATGTATGTAAAGAATATGAATTAAGCAAAAATATTTTGTTGATATGAAAAAAGTTGATTAGGAGAATGTTTTTTAATATTAGATTGTTGCACATGAAATGATTGAATTTTTAATATACAAATTTTGATTTTTTTGACAGAATTATTGATTTGATTAATTTCATAATTATATTTGTGAATTCTAATTTTTTATGTATCAATGAAAAATTATTTATTTCTTTAATGCAATTTTTTCGAAAGTTTTATTAATGTTACCATATTACAATCTTTTATATGTTATATTCAATTTTAAATTAAAAAATCATTTAGATATAATATATAATTCATTATATTTGCTTTTTTATAACAATTTATTTATTTTTAAATAATTTTAGATTTGTAAAAATATTTTATATGCAATAACGTAATATAAAAATATGGATATATTCAAAATAAATCAAATTTAAGAATATTATATCTTTGCAATTCGTAACAATTTGTAATTTTACATGTGTGTCAAAAGTATTTAAATTTCAGAAAGTAAATTTATTATTTTTTAAAAAATAAATAAAAGTTATTTGTTAACTTTTCAAATTTAATATTTATAAAAAATAAACTTAGTTTTTTTTCATTTTATTTTATTCTCTTCGGAGTATTTTTATTTTCTTATTTTAATATAACTTTTTTAATTTTTTGAAAATATAAATTTTTATATATTTGTATAACAAATGTAAATTATATTTTTTTATAAATTCTTAATTTTTCATTTAATTTTATTTTCCCTTGTTCTTTTATAACAAGAAAATAATATTTCTACTTTTTATATATAATTGACATAAAAAATATAATTGAGTTAAATATTAACATCTATAAAGAAATAAATAATTGACAAAAAATTAAAATTTGTTTTAATCTGGCATTTCTTAATTTTCTTAAAATGAAATATTGGCTAACAAAATATTATATGTTACACAGGATATTATTAATATAGGATTTAGCGTTTTTTATTTTTTTTTTCATTTTGAGAGAAAAATTAAAAAAAAATATATTATATATCAAATATACATTATTTAATATATCAAAAAATAATTATATAAATATTATATA